AGGCGTGAAAATTATTTCAATACAATTCAAGGCGTAACGTACCATTGAGAAATGGGAAATGATATATTCCTGAAAACGTCACTGTGTTGACGATCATATTGCTGTCCCCAGTTCGAAAAATGACGGCAACATTAATGATTAATATACACCCAATTTAGCTTTAAATTATTTTCTATATTTACACGCTTTCAACCGGGTAAGTTTTAGAAAACTATTGTTACTTGTTATTTCTTTTGTCCTGATGAGACAGATACTGCTATACAGGCTTTTCCTTTACATCCAACATTCACTGCTGTCAACAAGGCGTGACATGTGCAAAATTTAATATACTGACCTTTCTACTGTGTATTTAAAGATTGAGATTAGAAAATAGTGCTTCTAAGTACATATATTTTGAGATTCTTGATAAACTACAAAGAAGAATCTAAAATATACATAACGCCACCATCTCTAGTGATTACTCCAAACACCTTGATGTTGACTGGATATATCATTCAACTCTTTCCGAATCCTCTGCACTGTCTTCAGATTGACACCCAAACACTCTGAAATGTTCGTATTGGAGTTTCCGGTGCGTATGCCAAACAGTACAGCATGCTGTTTCCAAATTTCTGGCGGAGTGAATTGTGTCGTAGTGCTCTTTTTGTCACAGACGGTGCCCAACTAACTCTACTATGCTGTGCAGTTGACAAAATCAAAAACAAACAAACATGAAATGGCGGCAATTTACCCATCGCACGCTGTATGTCTGCCGGCCGCCCTCATAAATTTGGAAAAAAAAACAACATTGGGAACAGAATTTTTTCTCCTTTTAATGTGTATTACAATTACAGATATTTTTGCGATAATTTCGTTAATGATCCGCAAAGATCAAACCTTGATATGACATTGCTAAATCTCGTTTTTATTCATTTAACCGAATTAAAAGAAGTATAAGTTATTGTTATAGACATCCTGCTGACCACTGTTACAAATGGTGTGGTAGCACTTAATGAGGTTGGTTGGAAAGTGAAAAAAATATCTTGGTTTTCTCCACTCTCCGAGGCCCATATTAGACATTAATTATCTGTGATAACACAACGGAAGCAAGGACTAAAATAACTCAAGGAAATTAATTACAAAAATACGTTGTGTCTGAAAAAAATTTTAGATACTATACTAGAACATACAAATACGTCATCTAATATATATATATATATATATATATATATATATATATATATATATATATATATATATATATATATATATATATATATATATATATATATATTTAACAAAAGACAAATTATAGCTCTTTTGAAAAAAAAAGTATGGTGTATGTGAAAGGATAAATATAAAGAAAGGAAAAAAAAAGAACGAATATAAAAGACACATGGCACAGTGGATAAAGGCGTTCGTTAGATCCAAAGAGTGTGAGTTCAATACCCGGTTAAGGCAGTGGGGAACTTGGAGAGGGGAATTAAACAGGAGATAACTGATAACTGACATTCATTAAACATGGCACGTGGAACTAGAACAGTCTACCCCAGTGAGCGGAATAAAGGTTTCAGTGTGACATTCCAACCACCTGAAGAAGGCCGAAGCGTACAACAATAGTCCGAATAATGTAAATAGTGTAAAAAATGATGAATATAAAGAAAGGATAAATATAAAGAAAGAATTAATGTAAAGAAAGGATGAATATTGAGAAAGAATGACTATAAATAAAAGGATAAATATAAAGAAAGGGTGAAGAAAGAATGGATATCATGAAAGAATTAATATAAAAAGGATGAATGTAATGACAGAATAAATGTAAAAAAAGAATGAATATAAACAAAAAGAATATAAAAAGGATGGATATAAAGAAAGAATGAATATGAAGAAAGGATGAATATAAAAAAAGAACGAATATGAAAAAGGATGAATATAAAGAAAGGTTGAATATAATGGAAGGATAAATATAAAGGAAAGATGAATATAAAGAATTAATGAATATAAAGAAAAAATAATATTAAAAAGGATTGATATAAAGAAAGAATGAATATAATGAAAGAATTAATATAAAAAGGGATGAATATAAAGAAAGGATGAATATAAAGAAAGGATGAATATAAGAATGAATATAAAGAAAGAATTAATGTAAAGAAAGGATGAATATTAAGAAAGAATGACTATAAATAAAAGGATAAATATAAAGTGTGAACATTAAGAAAGAATGGATATAATGAAAGAATTAATATAAAAATGGATGAATGTAATGAAAGAAAGAATGTAATGAAAGAATTAATATAAAAAGCGATGAATATAAAGAAAGAATAAAAACAAGGAAAGAATGAATATAAGGAAAGGATGAATATAAAGCAATGACAATTATAAACAAAGGATAAATATAAAGAAAGAATGATTGTAAAAAAACGATGAATATAAAGAAAGAATGATTATAAAGAAAGGATGAATATAAAGAAAAAATAAAAACAAAGAAAGAATGAATATGAAGAAATGTTTCTTTCCTGTTCTTTACTTATGGCATTAACTCGTTCTCTTAATCGCCATTCGTTAACAGGATCTCGGGAGATAATCAGCAACTGTGTTGTTCTTACCAACGGGCTGTCATCACTCACGTTTATCACGTGACCTTCTGGGACTTTTTAAGACGCTAGTAAATCCCTCTTGTAAATAAGGGAGGTAACTGCATGTTGCATCCCTACACAGTTCTGAATGATATTACTTAGTAAAGGTTAACCTATTTTGTGCTTCCTCAGTTTCCCATTTTCCCTTCGAAATATCGGGACTCTACCTTCTCACGTGCCGAGTCCCTTTAGGCCTTAGACGATCATGGCTCTCCACAAATTTCCTGTCCTTTGTAACTCTTAAATTTTGTCTTTTATTTCTCCTAAACCCTGTTCCGCCATCCAGTTACTTAAGCTCACCAGCAAGGTTATGCGTTGCTTTACTCTGTCTCTCTTGCTTTCAATGTGTCCTGTGAGTATCAGATTTTCCAAACTTTCTTTCCTCACCATGTACCCTAGAAATTTTAGCTTTCTTTTTGATGTTATGTATAAGCGTAATTTTTATTTCCATTTTTTATAAAACTTAGTTGTTGTTCACATGTTCGGTATTCTCAGTATCCTTCTGTAGAACTACATTTCCGCCGTCTCTTTTCCATATGTGATGAGATTGTCTAGCATTCACAGCCATATAGGAGGACTAATATTACATAACAGTCCAGTACTCTTTTCTTTGTTTCTTAAGAATGTTTCTTAATACTTTGCTTAGCTTTTGGAAGGCATCTTTCGCTATCGCAACGCGCCTTCGGATTTCGGTGTCGCTGTTTTTGTCCTCTGTAAAAACACTTTCCAGATGTATAAATTATTGTGCTTGCTTGATTTTGATATGTCCAATTTTTAATTTGCATGTTGGGCTGTTCCTTTTGCTAACAACCATATATCTCGTCTTTTTGCAGTTGGTGGTTAGTCCTTTCTTCTCGCTTTCTTTCACTACCTTTTGTAAGAGTTCTTGTAGTTTCCTTTTTGTGTCTGCTATCAACACTGTGTCATCTGCATATCTTATGTTAAGATTATGACCACCAATAAACTTATAGTACGACATCAAATTATATCCGCATAGTATATTTAAAAATAACAAAAAAAAAACAAACAAACAAAAAAACAAAAAACAAACAACAACAACAAAAAACCCAACAAAAAACAAAAACAAAACAAAAAACGATGTCACCCTATGGATTACCATATTTCAATGATTCCCAAACTATTCGTCCTGGTAATTCCATAGAGCACAACGGAATATTCGAAAATATGAACAATTCCAAACGATTGTAATTCATTTCGTTGATGTGTGGTCACAATGCTAGGTAGTGAAATTCTGATACATTGCAAATCTCTCTGTTCATTTTGTGCTAGAGCGGAGGCACGGTGGAGTAATGAATAGCGGCTCGGATTGAGGAATCGAAGAGCCGAGTTCGAATTCCAGTTAAATCCATTACATTTTTACTTTTGGAAAAGGTATGAATCCTCTTCTCTACTCTCTTAGCTGTGGGTAAATACCAGGACAAACCAAGTTCTATAGCCTTGGGTGGCAACTGGTCTAAGAGAAAGACAAATATGAATTCAAAACCTGATCCTCCAGATTGGGGACTGTGGACTAACAACCTACTCACTTTTAAAAAAAAACAAAACAAAAAAAAATGGATTGTTATAGAAACCGCAAAGATATCTTGCGGCCCAATGTTCCTCAAGGATTTTAAAGGAATATATATATATATTGCTAGACACCACTGCTTCAATATGAGATGGCATTCTGTCGATAGACAAGGTTAATTGTTTTAGAATAGAATAGAATTTAGAAGAGTCGAGTAATTTTGCTACATTGTAGATTAATTGCATCCTTACTCGAAATTAAGTGTTTAAATTAGAATAAACTTAAAAATCGAATGAAATATATTTTTTTAGGTTTTAGTCCATTTCTTCGTATTTATAGAAAGGCTTTCATTATTCATCAATAAGCATTCCGAAAATGGGGATTCAACGCCAATCATAGAAAGATGGCGATAGCTATTTGGACTGAGGCCGAAATGTATAATCCTCCAGTATTTTCTTTCAAAAGAAAAAGATCAGTGAAAAAAAAATCTTACACATCATCGGCCCCCTCGAGTTGAAAAAAACAAATGACACATTGATGACGGAGAAGACTTATTTAAATTCAATATTACAACATCCGGGTTAATCCTAAACCTACCAGTTATTTCAGCTTGATATGTAAGACGCAAGAGAAAATTATTGAGCCATTTTTTAAAATTTCAAATAGAATGAAAACATTCATATTGACACTATTATGAAGTTAGACTTCGATAAAAGTACTGGCTTCTTTGTTTAGCGACATATCAACTCCTTATGGGTCATTTAAAGTCGAAATTTAATCTTCATTGGAGCATTCGTAATTTTTTTTTACCAAAATGCTTTGCGGGTAATATTTTTATTTTTTTCAAAAATGTATTGCTGGTAATATTTTAACAATGAAAATATATTACTGGTATTTTTATTAAAAAATGTATTTCTGTATTTTCATAGTGTTTTGATTCCAGTTTGGGGCTTTACTAATTGCCCATAGTTGGCACCCTAACAGGTGCTACCACCTGGTCAGGGTGGACCTGGGAACAACAGCAATTTAGAGGTAATTGAACGTTCCTCAAAACCTTCCGATCAGTGGCCTTGCTGCCAGATTTAGTTTATCATCATACCCAGGATGAACAAGTACTGGTAGTCTCCACCGTCCGCGTTAAACATTAGCCTACCAGACACTTCATCTTGGTACGTAAGAACCGATAGATACTTTTTGAGCTCTTTTTAACAATAAAAGGAAGAGCCTTATATGCCGCTAGTTACTGTCAGACGTTCACTAGATTCTGAGTCATCATTGGAATGATAAACACTGACGAAATACATTAACATTTAACCTTTACCAAAGTAAAATTCTTCCTGTTCCTTCGTTCTTTACTTAGCACGGTCGTTACGCCCTGCCAATAAATAATGGACTATTCCGTTTTGATCGCGAGGAAAGACATATCAGAGATGCTGTTTGGTTTCAGTGAAGAAAAGAAAGAAATGGTTTCAATTGTTTAACTGCTTCAGTAAATGGAAAACTCGTCAATTTTAAATCTTTTCATTTGTACTCACTTACATCTTTAAATAATGGCTTGCATTCATACTTATGATTGTTATTGCAATATTTTGTTAAAGTTGTTAAGCTCAAATATTTAACGAGACAATCGGGGAGTTGTGGAACTAATACGTAGCTTATTCATTCATTAACTTATGAATTAAGAGTCATCAGAAAATTCAAGTAGGAAAACCGTGCAATTTTTTCCAGGAATTTATTGAGAAATTTATGCTCGGCTGCTAAGAATTCTATGTTTGAGACATTCTCTCGCATAAGATTAAGATATCAACTTGAAGAATACTTCGACTGCTTTCTTGTCTCCTCCAGAGCGTGGTCGACTGAAGGTGGGCGGAATGGGTAATAGAACTGCATTCTTTTCGTGTGAGCAGGATATTTACTGAGGCCAGCGAAGACGTTCGACTGTAATATAGAACGATACATACAGAGTCGGGCGCAATTATTAATAGATTTTAACATAATTCCTCTGTGATAGCGAATTCGTAGGAAGATATTTATTCAGGGAAGAGGAAATATGTGAGAAGAATTGGACAGACAGACCAAAACAGACTGAAGAACTACATGTGTATAAAATTTTAACTATATATATATATATATATATATATATATATATATATATATATATATATATATATATTTTTAATGATGATTATTATTATTATTATCATTATTATAAGAGATTATGATAAAACATGTTGAAATCGCTACACAAAAGGTTTCATGTTTCAATTCTTTGATTGTACTTCTTCAGGTGATGATAAGTAACAGGTAATTAACATGTTTTTATTATAATTTCTTACAATAAAAATAATAATAATATATTGCTCTACTTTGTATTGAGCACTTTTTTGAAAGTAAATGCTAGGAACAGTGTAATTTTACACCAGCTGTTCTGTCTCTAATTTTTATATATATATATATATATATATATATATATATTAATTTCAGTTCAATAGCTCAACTTCATAGAATCCCAAATTTGGGTCATAAGGTTAATATCCGGGTTGAATTTGTGGAGTCTCTTCCCTTTAAAAAAGATACTTTCCGCCCTTCCCTTACCTTAGGCATTTCGTCTGGGTAGGTTCTGTATCTATTTTTCGACTGCTATCAAAATTAAATTTTAAATCCCTAATTCCGACGAACACAGTTGTATCTACTGGGGTTGAATAAGACCGACGTACTTTGAAATAGATCTATTCCCCCCCCACACACACATAAGAGGTAATTTTGGATTTTGTTTTGTAATTTATATGCTCTGTTATAATAAATACATTGAGTTCTTTTTGTGGATCAATTTTAATATTTGATATTATTAGGATCCACTTGGATTATACACCAACGGATTTATTACCTGTACTATATATATATATATATATATATATATATATATATATATATATATAAATGTAATGAGAAGGAGGCCTCTTAAGCCTAGATAGGAAGACATATATATATATATATATATATATAATGGGAAAATGTAGAAAAGGTTTTTTGTCACACGTTTCGTCATCAGGAGAAACTCGTCACAAGTTTTACCTACTTTGCCTACATTTTCCCCATTATTGCCCTATTTAAATTTAAATTATCTAATATATATATATATATATATATATATATATATATATATATATATATATATATATACATACATATATATATATATATATATATATATATATATATATATATATATATATATATATATATATAATATAAATAAATAAAACTCACTGCTCTGTTGTAATTGAACTAGCTAGCTCTCAGATTACTAACCATTGCACCACGGAGAAGTGTCCTGACAAAATTAATATAGACAAA